ATCTTTTAGTATAGTTCCAAACAATGCACTGCCAAACTGCTCCTTGCCACAACAAAAGATAGCACTGAGAACAACAAAACCAATTAAAGTGATTTTAATGAACCACCCATAATAGCACCCTTCACTGATGTTTGAATACAGTCCTCTGCTTCTGCCCCTTGTGTTTTCTCTCCCTGAACTCACTTAATAGCATGCATAAATCAGGCACGTTGACAGGTACACACATAGCTTTTAATATCCCATAAGGCACATGGAACTCTGCACACTTGCCATAGGCATCTCAGAGATGACAGGTAGATAAGAAGGAGGAAGAAATACAGATCCTGGGGTGAGGACAGGACAATAAAACCTGGATCTGCAATATAAGAGGAACATGAACAGGAAGAATCAAAATGGGTAGACCATGCATTTGTTATTGTTGTCAGCCCTATTTGTGCATGTATGTATGCATGTGCTCTCTCTCTCTCTCTCTCTCTCTCTCTCTCTCTCTCTCTCTCTCTCTCTCTCATACACACACACACACACACACACAATTCAGATAATTGTGACTCAGAAATAATTTTTAGAGCTAGATGCAACCTCACATGCCTGTAATCCCAGCACTTGGGAAACTGAGGCTGAATGATCATGAGTTCAAGGCCAGCCTGTTCTCCACAGCCCCCAAACCAAAATAATTTAGAAATACAAGGCTAAAATGTTGCACATTCGCCAAGTGCATGAACACCCAGAGAGCTGATTTCCTTGCCATTATTCTCTGTAATGGTTTGAATGAGATTTGAATGCCTGGCCTCCAGTGGGTGGAACTGTTTGGGTAGGTTTAGGAGGTGTGGCCTTGCTGAAGGAGGCATGTTGCTAGGGGTAGGTCTTCTTTGAGGTTACAAAGTCATGTGACATTCTCAGTCCACTCTCTGTTTCATGTTTGCTGTTCAAGATGTGAGCCCTCAGAGTTTGCTCCAATTGCCATTCTTGCTTCTTGTTACCATGATGGACTCTAATCCTTCAGGAACCATTAAGCCCAAATAAACTCTTTTGTTTTTATAAATTGCCTTGGTCATGGTGTCCTATCACAGTAATAGAAAGTAAACTAATACACTCTAAGTGATATGGAATAACAACTATGTATCATTTACTTCCATTATGTATAACTAATCTAGAAATGATTTAAAGTAGGATATGCATAGGTCACATTCAAATATTACCTATTTCATATAAGAGCCTCCATGGATTTTGGTATCCTCAAACCCATCTCCCACAGATAATCTAAAACAGATGTGTTTCTAAATCTGTCTAGGGAGATCGAGGTGGGTTCCTTTCCTCTTAGGACTGGTGGTAAAATATCTAGAAATATGTTTCCTAGTATGGTTGATGTATTTTGAAAGACATTATTAAACCCACAAGAGGGTGTTGTGGTTGGAAATAATGCCAAGGTGGAACAGTCGAAGGCTCTTGTTGATGGTTACTAGCAATTATTCAATTACATTATTAATATAAGAAGAATTATTGATGTTAATTAATAGTTTAATAATTGATGGTACTGGTAGTACCAAAGATAAAGACAACTACTTTTTCCTGTCACCTGTGAGCCAGACACAGACTAGATGTGTATGTATGTACCCATGCACGCCATGTGTGCGTGCGTGCATGTGTGTGCGTGCGTGTGTGTGTGTGTGTGTGTGTGTGTGTGTGTGTGTGTGTGCACAGGTACCAATATGCACAAGTATGTGTGTGGAAGTCAGAGGATAATCTCTGGTGTTGTTCCTCAGCAGCCATCCGGTTTGTTTTCTGAGATAGCTTAAATCTTTGGCCTGGAACTCTTCGATTCAGCCAGTCTGGTTTGTCTGCAAACCTTAGAGACCCCTTGTCTCCACCTCCCCAGGACTGAGATAAACGGTACAAACCACTTTCACTGCACTGCCTTTTTGTGTTTGGGATCTGAGGATTGAACTCAGGCCCTCATGTTTATGTGGCAAACATTTTACCACATGCACTATCTCTCCAGCCTGAGAAGCTTTTATATTCATGACCCTTAGTGGGAATAGTCACAAACACCTCCCAGTCAGGATGAACTCTTAACTGCTCACAAACAGTACTAGCAGGAACTGGCTAAATGTCACCCTGACTTGATCCATCAACACCCCCGGAGGCTACAAACTGGCAGTCCACAGGCCACATGTGGGCTGTGGATGTGTTTTTATTTGCCCTGAGCTCTGTTTAATTTTTAAACATTTGCTGCCAATTATGAAGAAATAGTGAGATTCTAGCTAAGAAGTCCTGGTCCCCAGCTTCTAATGGGAGCATGAAGCCTAGGCCTTGCTGAGTCTCAGCTCTTCACCTTGGCCCTCCATCCTTCTCCTGGACCTCACAGCCTTCCTTCTTCCTTTGAAGTGCCTGAAACTCAGTCTGTGATTATGCCAGAAGTTACTGCCCTACCCCCAAACAGCAGAGAGCCAGTCTCTCTTGTAACTAACTGTTCCTGTTCACCTTCCTCTGTCTTCTGCCTCTCCCCCCTGCCTGAGTTATACACTTAGCCTAAAGCATGCTTCAGATTCCCTGCAGGGTTTCCTGGACCCACAGCACCAAATTCTGCTACCAGACTTCCTGATTCAGAGTGTCTAGGCTTGGGTCCTAGCTATTTAATTTGAACATGGTTCAGATTGATGCTGTCATGGATGGCCCAGGGACCACCATTTGCAAACTACTGGTCTGAAACTCTAACACGAGCTTCCAATGGACACAGGCAAAGAAAGAAAAGGAGAGGCTCACATTTCGAAACCTTATTAAATAGCCTTGCAAAAACTAAGTGGAGGTGGGTGTTGCTGGGATGACTTGGGGGATTAAAAGCTTGTCATGCAAGTGTAACAGCCAGAAGAGCCTGGATCTCCTGAAGCCATTAGGAGGCTGAGACAGGATCCTCATGTCAACCTGGTCGGTCAGACCAGTCCTATTAGTGATTTGGGTTTAACTGGGAGACCCTGTTACAGTGAATAAGGGAGAAAGCAACCAAAGAAGAGTCCAGTAGCCAGCTTAAGTCATCTATATGCAGCTATAAACAAATATGCACATACACTTGTACACATACAACACACACACACACACACACACACACACACACACACATACACACACATGTCATTGCCTTACCTCAGAATCACCAATTTCCTGAAAAATTCTGCTCATCCCTTTTAAGTCACCTTTTGGTTTATTCCCAACAGGTTCAGCAAAGGCAGCTGTACTGCCAAGGACATGTGACCCCATCTTCTCCCCAGGACTTAAGAAATAGTAATAGTAACTTGCCTCTCAAAGATCCTAAACCCAAGATACTAACTGCTCTCTGACTTCACTGACCACTATAATCAATTCTCCTTGAGAACTTGTGGTACACCAAGGCTTACGGCAAGCGCTTTTGTGTATCACAATGGCTCTCTGATGCAGAAGCCATTATCTTTTACACCACAGAGGATGAAAAATAAATAGGTCAGAGAGCACTTGACTGGTTCTACAGTCACTAAAATAGTCAAGAGGCAGCGTCTACTCACTGCTGGCCAGATACTGTTAGGAATGCCATGCTCTGGCCTGTGTCATTGTTTAAAGATGAATGATATGACATTTGAAAATGATGTCATATGACTGTGCTTTCTGGAGGAGTTTAGTCAGGATGTGGGATTTCAAATATAAATCCACAAGTCTCCAGAGGGTCTAGAGAGGGTAGGTCTCTGCTGGCCACTTTGGGAAGATTGATTAGGTAATAATCTAGAGTATTCATCAAGGGAGAAAAGTCCCATCATGGAACTGGCTGCCTGTACTGGAACTGTCTACTCAGCAGCACTCAGCAGGGCTGCTGCAGAACTCTGGCTCCAGACATCTGGAGCGAAGAGACAGGGCAGCTGTGATGAGGACCACCTGAGACATTCTAGAAAGCTCCCAAAGGAGTTAGACTGTCCAGGACACAGGTTCTCCCTTCAGACCATACCACAGTAGTTGGGTGACTGTGGTCAGAGCACTTAACCTCTATAAGTCTCCACTTTCTTCTCCCACATCCCAGAACAACGGCCTCCCCTCACCCCAGCCTTCTGGGCTATGTGAAGTGCTTAACATGGCACCTAGCGCATAATAAATGCTCAAGAAATTAACGATTATCACATTGAAATAACTATCAATGTCACCTTCTTCATCTGAACACAGACCTTTGCAACTTCATGTTTCAGTGGCAATGCTTATGTTCAGTAGTTTCACAACACATAATAAAGTCACCAGGTCTGTGCTGTAGCTAGCATTAACAAAGAAACATCCACCCCAGAGAATCACAGCTCTGATTCATACAGGTACAAATGCCTGCCCTCCTCCTCCAGAAGCTAGCAAGAACCCTACCGGATCTTAGGGGCAGCAAAATTTTCCCATGGACTATAAGGGAATGGGAAGCATTTATTCTGACATTACAAGTGTCTAGTCTACACCCAGCCAACTTCTGCTTCCTTCTCCTTCACCTGGGGAAAGGGCTGGCTGGTGAACCATTCTCAGTTACCGAATCAGAGGTACTGTATGTTTCAGAATTCAATTTAAATACCATTGAGATAAACAACGTGACCTTTTCAATGTCAGTCTGAAGAGAAAATGACACAGTTGAACTGAGGAAGGAGGGAGGGCAAAATTAGATTCTTCATCACAGTTCCGAAAGAAGTCTGGACTCTGCTCACCCAAAAACCATCCCCCCACCAAGGTGTCAGCTCAAACAGTTCCAGTAATTGAATCAAAGCAACAACAGCAACAACAAAAGCCTCCGTATCAGTTGTCTTTCCCATTATTTATAGAGACCTAGCTTTGCGCTAGGAATCTCCATGTTGGTATCCAGTGACTTGGAGCACAAGGGGAGGGAGCAACTACAGGCACATTCAAGTGGATGTACTGATGTCCACACCTCAGGAAGCCGTCAGGGCGTGCCCGCAAAAGAAAGAGCACATTGTGGCTGAGGGCCAGGCAGCCAGAGAGGAGAGTTTACTTACAGCTTTTGGTTTATATGGTGGCTGAATCTCCTTGCGTTCAAGTTTCTCCCAGTCAATATACCGGAAAAATGCATGTTCTTTAATGTCTCGTTCCCCTTCAGGTCCACAACCCAGACGTTTGCCTGGGTGTTTAGTCATTAGCTAAAAGAGAAAGGAAAACACTGAGCAGATTTCTGACCAGTAAGTGGGAGCTGCTGAAAAATGATCATTGCAATGACTTAGGAAAGGGAGCACAATGTAGACTATTAACTGGTTTTACTGTTGGAGTTTCATCCATCCCAGTGACAGTTTCTTAGCCAGGTCTCTGTGAGAGAAAAGCCTAAAATGATGCCTATTCCAGAGCAAAATCCCATGGGGCAAATCAAATCCAAGCTCCAATGTGACCTTGAACTTCACATTAAACTCGGTCTGGGTTCAAGAGTGAGTTTTGTGTGTTTATTTAGTGCACCTAGTGAGGACAGTTTCTACATCTTCAAACCCCCTTCCTCCTGTGGTAAGAAACACTGACATTTGACCAGCTCGAAGGATGCATTCATTCAGATACAGTTTGCATTTCTCAGCAAAGCACTTGTGAAATGAAAAAAAGAAAAAAAACAAAAGAAAAATATTAGTCACATGGACCCAAGTTTCAAGTAATTACTTTCAGAAAGCTCATTAAATAGTCAAAACCTAGCCCAGCTCGTTTTCCCCATGTCACACATTATCATCCGCTCCGCTGAGGCTTCTTTGGTGTTCTGTTTAAATTACTTAATTATCAAAACTCTCCATCTTTGTGTCTGTGAGCCAGTGCTAAACAACAAGATGAATAGATGCCCTGAGATGAAACCAGTCAGGCTTCCTCTTGGAAATGAACCTGAGGCCGCATTGGAGGGTCTCTGATCTCAAGACACCAGCAAGTGAACAGAGAGGAAAGATGGAGGAGTTAGTGATTTAAAAAGAAAAGGGATATTCCTCAGCAGGGGGGCATAAAATGAACTGTGAAGCTGAGTTCACACCCAGCTCCCCTCACCCCCCCCTCACCATTTTGTCCATGACTGGATGGCTGTGGGTAAAGAGGGAACCCAGGAATTCATTCTGAACTGCTGTACATCTGACTTGACTGCTGCTCACAAGAAGGCACACAGCCACAGGCATACACTTGCCATTCATGTTCTATCCTCCAAGCTCAACATCCTCAGCTCCTTCTTTACTGATAGGCACGACACCACTGATTGTCACAGTCACCCAGTGAGGTGAGTCTGTGCCTTTTCCCGCTTGAAATGGCAAGGCTACAGCAAGGACTTGCAGAGTCACAGGTGGGATCCACTCCCAATTCAGCCTAGCTCCAAAATTTGGGCTTTTAAGAAAAATAGGAGCCAAGCATGATGGTGCATGCTTGTGATCCCAGCACTTTGTAGGCTGAGACTGGAGGATGGAGGATTGGAGGAGCACAAGGCCTTCTTGGGCTTCATAAGGAGATCCTGTATCAAAGTAGCTGAGAGAGATGGGGGTGGGGAGCTCTAGCATAACAAAACACATGCTGGCCTCCAGGCTTACTCAGTACCCTTGGTTCTTCTCACCCTGCCCCTACCCTAAACTTCTCCAGCTAATGGGTTCCCTCCCCCAGGTTCTGATTCCTATGTAACCCTGCCATTTTATCATGTCGTCTTTTGGCCCTGCCCCCTACCCTAAACTTCTCCAGCTAATGGGTTCCCTCCCCCAGGTTCTGATTCCTATGTAACCCTGCCATTTTAGCCATGTAGTCTTTTGGCCCTTTCTCTTGCCCCCTGTTTTGCCCCCTCTCTATGCCACATTTGGTTCTCTTCCTCTCTCGCTCTCTCCCATGGTTTAGTCTACTGGTCATGATCAATGCACTATTTTCTCTCTGTTCTCTGGACTCTTCCAAATGCCCCTGGCTCTACATATCTACAATAAAAACCTTCTCTTCAACCAGACCCTGGAGTGGTCATGTCCTCACTTTATACACTCTGCATGTGGTTTTCCTAGAGATATTTGTGGTCTGACTTGGTCAGGAAAAGTCGATGGAGGGCAAGCGAATTGAGTCAAGCCTTGGCATTTATGTAGGGTTTGGATGGGTAGAAAGAAAGTCTAGGACTGTGGTTCTCAGCCTTCCCAATGCTGTGACCCTTTAATGCAGTTCCTCTTGTTGTGGTGACCCCAACTATAAAATTATTTTCATTGCTACTTTGTAACTGTAATTTCGCTACTGTTACGAATCATAATATAAATATCTGCGTTTTTCTATGGTCTTAGGTGAGTCCAAGGGATCTCCATCCAGATGTTGAGAACCACTGATCTAGGCAGTCTCAGCCCTGATAACAATAACACCCAGATCACTAATGTTCTGTGGACTGAGCACATTATGCGTCTGGTTTCTGTCCTAAAGGCAACTCAGTCATTGTTTGAGACTATTGAATCTTATATTAACACTCTGAGGCTTCAACAACTAACTATAACCCTACTTTCTCGAGAAGGAACTGGTCCAGAGAAGTAAAGCCTTTTGCCTAAAGTCACACAGCCAAAGAGAGCTCTCTCTGTGTGTATGTATATGTGTATGTGTATATTTGTGTGTATGTACATTTGTGTGTATGTGTATGTGGGGACCAGAGATCATCTTCCTGTGTCTTCCTTAGTCACTCTGCACCTGCAACTTGTCAGACTGAAACAGACTCTGTCATATTTGCCCAACACTCCTCCCCTAAAGTCAAGCTACAAGTAAGTGAGCCCCAGGAATCCCCCAGTCTCTGCCTCCCCTCTATGGAGATACTGGATGTGCACCACTAGACCTGGCTTCCTTACATGAGTTCTGAGGACTGAACCCAGGGCTTCATGCTTGGTAACTACTTTACCCATGGAGTCTCCTCCCCAGCCCCAGGGTCAGGTTTTGAATAGCTCAGCTCTTGCAGCCCACTGTAATTCAGTCTCTGCTTATATTTACTTCAACTTGCCAGTCTAGGCTTCTGTCTGCTTCCAGCAAACTGGCCATGGAAATCTGAGCAAGCTTTTGCTGTTTTCATGATGGAAAATAGGTTTTTTTAATGAGCTAGACATATAAAAAAGAAGATGATATCTTTGGGAAAGAGGTCTGTTTTCAGATTCCTTGTAGGCAAGGAGACTGCAAGCAAGAAGTACTGTTGTAGGCACACAGAGCAGTAGGAGACTCGGCCAGCCCTCTACCCCCCACTCTCTTGTGCCTGAAGCCTTGTAGACAGCTGGATGTAATCACCATTCCCATCTCCAATCACCTCCCAGATCATCTCCTGGGGCCCTCTGCTCAGGAGGAGGCTTTTGGCTCTTGCATTTGGCTCTTGGCTTAAGTGTCACCCCTCTTCCAAGGAGTATCAGCCTTGAAGAGAGAGCCCACACTGCACTCAGCCCACTCAACTCAGAACAGTGCCCCAACACCAAGTGAAGAGAGTCACTCCAGTTCATCGTGAAGGTTATGGATCCTGGATTGATAGGAAACCGCTCCACCAGGCAAAGTGCTAATTGGAGCTGAAGCTGAAGGCAGCTGACCTGGAAAAATTTCTCCCCTCCACGACCCACTTAGAACCCCCCAGCTGTCCAGGCAGGGATGTATCTAGGAAGTGGAAATCCATGAACACGCACTGGACACCTACTACATACTAGCCATGCAACGAGAGTCCCCTTCCACTGCTCTGCTTAACATTCTGGGAAACGGTTCAGTACGTGCTTCTATTCTGTTTTAGAGATGAAGAAATAGAAGCCTAACGATACAAGGGAATTGCTCAAGACCACACACCTAAGAAATGAGAGGGTGAGGATTTACAGGGGCCATTTGATCTCCTAAATCCTTCATTTTTCAAATTCTCCTGTCATGGGAGGCAGGGGAGACACAAACTCAAATGCCAAGAGAAGTCTGGCACTAAACAGCAGTGACAGCATTAGTCATATTGGGGATGGCCTTAGGGTTCTGGAGCAGAACCCAGGCTCTGGTCTAAGTGATTTATAGGTATTAAGTACTTTAATCATCAAAGGACCCTACATGCAGCACTGTTATTGGCCTCAATCCATAAATCAGGTCAAACAACTTCCCCATGATCATAGTGGCTCATATCTTTGGACTTGAATTTGAACCCAGGTGGAATCTGGCCATTTTGTTTTTGTGTTTGTTTGTTTTTACAAACTGGAGAGGGTACATCCCATCTAAAGGAGACTGTGATTTCCAGTCTTACTAACTGATGCTTTGTAGGAATTACAGGCCAACACGGCAGATGGAAAGCTAAGGGTTATGGGGAATATCTAGATCTTCAGATTCTAGGAATCATTAAACTAATTAAAGTCATTGTGATTGACTTCTTCCCACACCTCTCTTGATAAGATGTCTCCAGGAGCACCATTGGAGGAGCCTCTCTCTGTCTGCAGCCTGTTTTATCTATGGCATTGCCAATGCTCCGGATAAACCCTTGAGTCTCCTCTCTGCTCCTTGTTTTTATTCTCTCCCTGACTCACACCCTCCAAGAAAAAAATTTGGAACCAATTTAACTTGAAGTTGTTAGAGACCAAGGCCAATTCACACGTGGCTCCTCTAGAGATGTCTGTATCCCCCCCTTGAATAGCTCAGACACAACGCCTAGGTGGGAGTTCAGGTAGTGTTACAAGGTATTTTCAAGCAGTGAGGTTGGCTCAGCTCATGTCATCCGGGTCAAGACTCAGGCTGAGCTGCCTGATTGTTGCCAATTACCCTAGTCAAAGCCACCAGAGATGGCATCTGACTGGGATCAAGAAGAGCCAGGCCTGGTAGGGTATGGGGAGGATGCAAATATCCCAGAGATCTTTGACTACAACCCTGGCATATGTAGATACACAAGGAGAATCCTGTGCTCAGGCAAGGCCAGAGTCTAACCTTTAGAATCTGCCCTCATTGTTGGCTGGTGGGAAAACCTTTATAAAAACTCCATCTTTGCATGCTATTTCCTTAGTCTCAGAGTGCAGCCTTCACACTTCTGTCGTGGTTGAGAAAGTGCAGCCTTTGGACAATACATTTAAAAGCAGTGCATGCTAAGCCACATTGGGGGAGTGATTTCCAGAGCACTAGCACACAGAACTAATTTCTGGGATGGGGTCTCAGTCTGCACAGTCTATTAGGCACAGATTGGATCCGACACAAGATGTAGGTAGCACAAACAGTTCTTACCTATAAACTCCTGTCTAGCTTCCTTAGAAGGTATTATTTCCATAAACTACAGGTGTGTACTACAAGGAAAAGGAGACCATGCAGGTTTGGGAACACTAAATTTAAGTCATTTTATCTGGGTCATCGCTTAAAATCAACACTGCCTGAAATTTTCTTACAACAAAAGTCACAGAATTTTAATGTTGACCAAACACACACGCAGCAAAGCAGGACACGTAGATCACACTGTGCCCTTCCCATGGTTCTAGCTCTTGGGCAGAGTCTCTGTGTTTCCTACCTCCTTCATTCCATAAGTAGTTCCTTGTGTGAGGCTTGAGGCTGGCGCCCAGCCAAAAGTGAGACTCCAGTACACAGTTGCCTCTACAGACCTTAGGAGGAAACTCTTCTTTGGGGGGAGCAGCTTCACAGCAGGGCTCTGGTGTTTCAGCACAGCGAGAGGTGATGTGAAACCTCTGTTGCCTACTATCTGGGGCACTACCTTGCATGGTAGTCCTGGCCTTGAGGGCCAAACAACTTACCCCTTTGCAGATGGCCACAGCTTCCTTGGACATGGACTTGGGATATGCCACATTGTGCTCCATGATGGACTGGAACAGTTCATCCTCATCCTCCCCTTCAAAAGGTGCCTGTGGAGAAGAGGGCAGGGTGGGAGAGGAACCCCTGCCTGGCCCTCCCCCCAGCTTTCTCTAACCAGCAGGGCTTCCTTCCCACCCGCATCTCAAGGTGAGGCTACACTCCAGGGCTTCCATGGGAAAAGATAATCAGCAAATGTTAATAACCCCAAGGCAAGGGAAGTCAGAGGCACTCAGATTCATGAGCTACGACTGAGTTGTCACTTTCTTCAGAGATCATGTGGCTGGAGGCAGAGGACAATTTTCTTACAGATCACTTAAAATTCAATTACCTGGCCAGCCAACATTTCATACAGCAGGACTCCAAATGCCCACCAGTCCACAGACTTTCCATAGGGCTGATAAGCGATGATCTGGAAAACAGGAGGCATCCTATCAGAGTGGCAGGCAGCCCCTGTGGCTGGAGACTGAATTCACACTTATTTGAAAGAAGAGCAGACTAGCACTGGGCTGGGGAGTCTCAGGCATGGTCCTGACCTTCTGTGAGAGGTTACAGCAGCTGCCACAGTCCCACACTTAAGCAGGATCCCAGAGAGTAGACAGAAAGGGTAGGTTACACCTGAGCTGTTCCCTCATGTTTGATGCTTGGGGATAAAGGGCACACTTTGCAGAGGCACCTGCAGCTTGGCAAACATCTGTGTGTGCCACCTTACCTTTTTAAGCACCAGGTATGGTGTAATGTTTTGAATTTCAGTGTATGGCATTTTAGCGAGGAGCAGTTCTTTTTGTTTCTCACTATAGAGTAAAAACATTTACACAATAACGTGGACATGCTTTAACACTACTGAGCCACATGCTTAAAAACGGTCAAGACAGTAACTTTTACAACATGTGGGTTTTTTGTTTTTCATCTGTTTGGCTTAGTTGAGGCTTATTGCTGACCCACACCCACAGCTCAGTATGTTTCTTTTGAACCATGATTAAAAATATAAGTTTAAAATGTAAATATACTTTGTGATTATTTTGCATCTTCTTTTAGTCAGAAAGTATAGATACGGTAAAAAGAATTTTGTGAGAAACCATCCATAATTCTTTGTCAAGAGAAAAATCATGACAAACACTGGTCTGTCCCCTGCTAGACACTTCCATGACTGTGTATTAAATGGGTGTGTGTCCATGACTGTATATTTAACAGGCTATGCGTTTTATTTAAGCTCAGGCGCTTCAGAAGTGAACACTCACTGGAGTGCTCTTCACTCTGCATTTCCATCTGATTTGTGTGCTGACATGCTGCTTGATTGCTTTTTAAGATTTTACTTTGAATTATGTGTGAATGTGTATGTATCTATGTGTGGGTATGTGCGTGTGGGTGCAGTGACCCTGGAGGCTAGCTCAAATTCCCTTGGAGCTCAAGTTATAGGCAGTCATAAGCCACCCTACAAGGGTACTGGGAACCAAATTCAGGACCTCTGGAAAAGCAATGGGCACTCTTAACCACTGAGTCAGGTCACCAATCCTCACCATTGGTTTTTACCTCTGCATAGCATTCCACTGAATGGATACACACTCTAAAATCTATATTACAAATCTCTAATTGTCCCATTGTTCCGTAAATTAAATACATGGAAGTAGGATTTATGGATCAAATGGCACCCGTGGCTACCAGGTTTTGATAGGTGTGTGACTGTCTACCATTCAGGCTGAAGAAGTAGCTGTGATAGGTGTGACGACTGTCTACCATTCAGGCTGAAGAGTGAAGAAGTAGCTGTGTTAAAGGCAAGACTGCTGGCAAAGCAGAGGTTGAGGGCTGAGGTTTGTGGGCCAGATGGTCTAATGCTTTGTCCCGATTGCTATTTGCCAGTGTGGCCTTAGGAAAAGTTACTTAACTTCTTCTATAGGCCAGATACACTATGGACACATTGGAGTTCTGTGGGGATGAGTGAATGAGCTACTGAACACCTCTTCTGCTTCATCCTTCATGTTGCCTTTTACTAGAATGCTCTGTAATTCAGTTATTGCTTGTTTTACTCACTAAAGGCATCGGAGCAAATCTGGTTACAAAGGAAATGTCTGTTTCCTGGTGCCTGCCTCCCACCATAGATTCTGTCTCCAAGTCAGAAATGCACAGATGATGGTCAAGGATCAAGACTTCATCAGCTAGGAGTCATGTGTTCCAGAGCTCTACGTACACCATGGCTATGACAATTAATAACAATGAATTGCCTTCTTGAAAGTTACTGTGACTGCCAGGGGCTGAAGCATGCACCTGTAATCCTAGCACCTGACCTACTAAGACAGCAAGATTGCCTTACGTTCACAGCCAGCCTGAGTCACACAGCAAAACCATGCTGGGGGGGGGGGGTGGGAAGAGCTGAAGGCCAGTGAGATATGTCTTAACTGGGTAAAGTGCTGCTGTATGAGCCTGGTGAGTCAAATGCAATCCTGGAAGCCAGGGAAAGGTAGCTGGAGAGAGATTCAGCTCCACAGACTTGTCCCCTGACCTCTACATGTGAATGAATGTGTTGCGGCATAAACATGTACACATACATATGCAATAGTAATATTTTTTAAACTGCTGAGTGTAGATTTTAAGCAAAAAGTTTAAGTACATAAGTTTATGCATATGCAAATTAACACAATTCAGACTTTCCACGTGTACAAAACACGCTGTGCACTATAGCTATGCATATTTTATTTGCAAATTTAAAATAGACGAATAATGAAACAAAAGAAGAAGTAAATAAGAAATGTGCTCTGAACAGAAGTGACTGTAAGACACAGCCTCTGTGAGAAGCTTCTAGGTGGGTGAACGTGTTTTCACACCTTTAAGGCACTTGGTGTTTTATTTGCTCCTCCTGACAGCCCAAGAAGTTAATCCTTTTACCAAGGAAAATGGATCCGGGAAGGTGAGAGAAGCTGCCAGAGGTGATGTGGGTAGTTAATAACAAAACCTGGCAAGGACAGAGTCACCGGATGGACGGTGAGCTGGAGGAAGAGGAAGTCAGCAGCACAGCTCAGGGCACAGTGTCCTCAGCGGGCCCTGTGACCAGCTGGGACCGTTGAAGACCACGGCCCTGCAGGATTTCTGATTCAATGGCTAAAGGGACATTTGGGCATCCTAAAAATTGTAAAGCTCCCCCATGACTCTCAGTGTAGTCAGGGTTGGGAACTAGGACTCACTGAACAAAGGACACACCCAGGAACTGTGTCAGAGTATGATGGATACTACAAAGAACTAGTTAATGATAACCACACAGGGATACACAAATGCACTTACCTTGAGGTGTGCATCAGTGACATACACTGACTGAAGCATCCTTACCCTCTGCAGTGTTTGAAATTAACGTGTCATCTCCCAGGCAGATTTTCTGCACCTTTCCATGAGCACTCGTATACTCGGAGAAAACACACAGCAGCACTCTGTGCTACTGTCACTGTCTATAAACAGTACTGTCATATTTGTTATTCCTTATTTGCATGTTTTGACTTATTTTTATTCATTCATGTGTGGAACAGCTTTGACATGTAGTTCAACCTGGCCTCCAACTCAAGTTCCTCCTGTGTCAGCCTCCTACATGCTTAGATGGCAAGTGGGTATAACCATGCCTAGCTTGATTTTTTTTTAAGTAAGGGCAGTATATATTCTTTAGATATCTGCAGTAAGAAGACACTCCTACTTTAATACATTGTTCATTGGAATATAAAAAGAAGGCAAGAGCAGAACAACATGCTTTACTGGCGACTCTGTCAACTGCATTAAAAAGTCAAGTAGATTGAGCTTATACAGCCAATAATTCAGTCAATATCTTAATGCCTAGCTTGATTTTATTTTATTTTTTTCTTTTAGCAATATGTCTTGAGAACATGTCCATATTTTCACACACATTTAACTTACTCTCTTGAATTGGTGAATAGTGACATTTTCTACTACATGTGAACCACAGTCTCCTGCCCTCACCCTATTGAAAGACATTATTTCAGATGAGTTCACACAGACAGGCTCCAATCTTTCCAAGGTTACATGTGACCTCCTGACCAAAAAGTAGTATGTATTAATGAATCGTTCCTTTATTGATAGTCATAAACAATGAGGTTCTTCCTTCTTTTCCATTATTAAGAAAGACTGGGATGAAGGAAGGACTTTGGAGGCACTCCCTGTATGTGTGTGGATTTAACTGTGTGTGCAACTGAGGTTTCCAGAAAGGAGTTGCTTGGGCACAAAACATGTTTTAAACATTATGGCTAGTTCTTTAGCTCCATGGGGAACCTTTAAGACCATTCTTGTATATCAAGTGGTTAACAGCTAGTCAAGGAAAAGAGCAATCCTGGCATGTCTCTCTCCTAGACTCTTCTGTCATGTACTCACCAATTATTGGGCCATGTCATGTTGGGAAAACCTAGGTTTGACCATTTCCTTTGAGTGGAAGGGGACTAGTTAGATAAAACTTTACCCTTTCACCTCTACCTTTATGACAGGAAGACAAACTCAGGGTCTCCTAGAATGCATCTGCATGGCACAGGGTCGCACCACTGTCATGTCAGCCCACAGGATCTGCTCCCTTTCTGTCTCTCACTCTCTCAACAAACACTTCAATGTTACAATTAGGAGACATCATATGGCTACAATCCATGGCAGTCTGATGATGGATGTGTTTTTACTGATGTGTGCTGGATCATTCTTTTGAGCTTTATTTAAACATTCTCCTAAATCTTGACATATTGGGAGCCTGAGCTTCTGCTGATCTGCAAGTGAGAGCTCAGAGAGCTGACTTAGGGAGCAGGATCTGGGCTAGTCTAGGGTTCCCAGATGCTGCCCCCAACCCTTTCCAGTCCTCTCACAGTCATCTAGGAGCAGGAGAGACATCATTGAGGGGGAGTGTGTGCTCTCACCTCTGGGGCAATGTAGTCTGGAGTCCCACAGAATGTCTTGGTTGTCACCCCATCCCAGATGTTCTCCTTGCACATGCCAAAGTCAGCAATTTTGATGTGACCCTCAGAATCCAGCATCACGTTGTCAAGTTTTAGGTCACTGTAGCAGAGACAAGGATTTGGGCACATAGTCACATGCTGCTTATTTTAAGTTAACCAACGGTCCTTTAATACATCACATGCCAGTGCTAAGAGCTTCGAGAACACAAATGTAACATGAAACAGACGTCTTCCTTTTGGCAGCTTACAACCTGGCAGGGGGAGTATAACAAAGGGGCCACAGAACTCTATGCTTTCTCTCTCTACAGAGTGAACTTGCCAAGTGTCTCACAAAGACACAATGAGACAGTCTCTCAGGGAAGAGAGAAACCCTTAGATAAGCAAAGAACACAGATGACTCCAGGATCCAAAAGAGGCCCATGAGTTAACCCTTACACCTCAGATCTCTTCTGTTTTATAAGAAGATACAGTTTTCATGAAAATATTACTTTGAAGAGTCTCTGAAGGTAGTGGAGTTCTCTCTCTCTCTCTCTCACTCACATATTCAGGGAACTTATTTAACTCCAAGTATTTCTGGCTCTTCTAGTTTACAGAACAGTATTCAGGAGCTTCAGCTGCTCCCTCAGTCAATAGGTATCTGTTGCCTAACTACTATGTGTCAGGCACTATTCCTGGGGCTAGATACATTAACCATGAACAACATAAATAAGCATATTTTTCATATTCCAATTAAACACCAATGTCAAGCAAAGATAACTAATATTTCATACTATGGTCATGGTTATTTGGATTCTGATAGGCAATGTGGTGAATAGGAAGATGACAAACAGATAGTAATGGTGAGAGGAGATGTCATCATAGGACAGATCTCTAAGATAGAGGCATCAGGCTTTAATCAAGAATTTGTGTTTTGCTCTCATCCTAGTATTGTTATCTGTGTGAATGAGGAAGGCTTCGCATTCTGGAAAATTCCTGCCTGTCTTCAGTCTGTAAGATTGCTCCCATATCCCATGGGCTATCTTTCATACTTTCTTCCTCTTAAATATTTATTCCAATGTCAGCATTTTGTGCACCAATGTTTAGGGATGCTTGATGGGCCAAACTGTTCTGGTTCTAATAGAAGATGTGGAAGTCCAGGTCTCTAGAGCCTCTCAGAGCTCTCCCTCTCAGAGCATCTTGATTGGGTTCCGAATGCCAGTGGCACATACATACATCTCTTTCTTTCCTGATCCTCAAGTTGAGAGATCCCAACTCAACATTTTTAGACCCCTAGTGATTAGCCCATCACAGAGTGACTTGCCCTTCTGCCCTCTCCTGAAAAACCGGAGACCTCAAGATAAACCTAAAAGATAACCCTCCCTTATCCAGGAACTAGCTCACCACATTCCTGCTCATTGTTTAACTGTACAATGCCTAAAGAATGCTTGCTTGAGATAACCTTCCTGTTAAGACATAAGCTGTCATTTAACTTTTCATCCTTTATGATGTTTGCCTAACTTCCCGATTCAGTTTTTCCCTTTTAAAAATCCCCAACTGCAGCTACTAGGGGTCCATCTCCTCTGCCCCTGCGAGGGTCATGAGCTCGGCCCCAGTGTACTGGTTCCCCGAATAAACCTCGTGTGCTTGCAGCAAGAACGGTCTCTCTTGAATTATTGGGGCATCGACTTATCCCGAGACTTGAGTGAGGGTCTCCCACTCTAGGGGTCTTTCAAAGTCATGTAATGGGAATGGTGATGAACTTGACTTCTGGTCCCAGGAGTGGTCTTATGGACCTGTGCTTGCCATTGAAAATAGCTGCTTACAGTGATTGGTTCAAAAACAGCCATGTGAGCCAATGGAGAACCATCAAAATCTTGAAACCATCTTGGCTATCCTCAGTAAAAAGGTAAGATCTTTTACCCTTGGCTGACTCAGGTGCTACAAAATAAGTCTAGAAGCTCCAGAGGTCCTTTGATAAAGAAAGATAATAAAGATAAATCAGAGACTGTAAGGAATGATAAAGGAACCTTTCAGATGTGTTCACAGACTTCTCCTTGGCAGCCAATAAATCCCTCTTCTAAGTTAAGTGAGTCTGAGCGGAGTTGCTGTGGTCACTTTTCTCTGAATAGCTGTCTTGAGGTCTCTTCATTCAAGAGCAGATTGTACCCACTGTAGACAACAACCTTCTATCCCAAGTATCTTTGGCACCACCCATAAGGCCGATCTTAGACAGTTCTCATGTTTGTCTTCAAGGCACTGTCTCCGAACACCAGACTAGAAACCAGGAGTGCTGCACTATGCCGCAACTAAACACACCAGATATGTGTGCCTTTACTATACATGGCACCCCTCAGCTACCACAACCAGCTTTTGTATGTAGGTGTTGGGAATCCAAACTCAGGTCTTCATGCCTGCACTTGACCCTCTGAGCTTTGTTTTACTTGCAGTTTCTCCCTGTAAGACACTCTTATTCTGGTGGTCTGGGATATTTATCTTGAAGAACTTCATTAAGGAAAACCAGCACAGATCGCAGAGTCGGTGATCAATACACCAGATGCTAAGTCTGACAAAAAGATCTTTTAGCCTCCCCTGACCCCTTTCCATGTATAGCATGTTCCTCAGAAGAGGAAAATTGAAATCTTTGTCATCTTCCTATGTTAAGCACTGAACTACCCAGAGCTAGTGAACTCAGGAATTTCTAAATCAATCATACTCTACTAAATCAGCATAGCCCTAACCACATTTTAGATATCCATCCTTATGCCCACAGATAAGTGTAGTCCTCACCCTGCATCAAGAAAACTTCTTTTTGCAACAGATGGAAACCATTATAGAAAACCATAACCAATAAAGAGACATAGTTGTGGGGCCCAATCACAATGGATATATCTACAATATAATTCCCATATCAAAGGTTCAGGGAACATTGAAGATAGGGGGTGGAAAGATTGTAAGAGCCAGAGGACCAGGAACCTTGCTTTGAAACTGAGGCTCCTAATAACATCAGAAGCTACACCCATAAAGTTTCACCAATATGACTTGCCCAAATGTGAGCTCAACAAGGACAATAACAAAAGACATAGGAATCTGGATGGGAGAAAGACCATGAGACTTCAACCATACGCAAAGAACTATAGGCAGCTAAGGAATGCTGAGTGTGGGAGAAACAATCTTCTCCAAGGAAGAGCACACTAATTTGTTGATTATCCGATACCAAATAGTCAGTCTGAAAACATGCATACAAGTAACACTGTACAGACTAAGCAGGTTGTACTTCTGTATTTAGAATGCAACAACAATTTAAAATTTGAGGCCATGAATTTGTTTTGTTTTTGTTTTTTCAAGACAGCGTTTCTCTGTATTGTCTTGGAGCCTGTCCTGGAACTCGGTTAGTAGACAGGCTGGTCTCGAACTCACAGAGATTCGCCTGCCTCTGCCTCCCAAGTGCTGGGATTAAAGGCGTGCTCCACTAGTGCCCCCGGCTTGAGGCCATGAATTTGAAAGAGAGAAAGGAGGGATATATGGGATTGTTTGGAGGGAAGAAAGGGAATGGAGAAACTATACAATTATGTTGTAATTTCAATCCCAGAAGTCAGAGAGGCAGAGGCAGGTGGATTTCTGAGTTTGAGGCCAGCCTCTACAGAGAGAATTCCAGGATAGCTGGGACTGTTACCCAGAGGAACCCTGTCTCAAAAAACAGTGGAGAATGAAAAGGAGAATCTATAGATAGGAGAGAGAGGGAAGGAGGGAGGAAGAGTGAGGGAGGGAGGGAGAGAGAGGGAGGGAGGGAGAGAGGGGGAGAGAGGGAGGGAGTGAGGGGGAGAGAGAGGGAGGGAGGGACGGACAGAGATAGAACATTTTAGAGAAGGGATTTTCTTAAGAACCTGAACTGCTCATTAATTCCAAATTTCAATCCAGATCCTACTAGGCTGAAAATGAACACTGAATCCCCAGATCAGCTAACAAGAACTCAGTTTCATCCCCAGGACTGAGTAGTCTTCTAACAAATATGTAGTTCACACCTAATCTCAGGAGCCTGGTTGGTTTTATTCTTTGAGAGGTTGTTCTATGCAGGAGTTAGAACCCACTGTCGGGATACCAGGTGAAATTCTTATTAAATGAAAACCATAGTCCTTGGTTTGGGAGACCAAGAAGCAACTGAAGTCATTGACTTGAATGTAGGGTCACACCACACAGACAATGTACCTTCTATACACAGATAGTGCATACCTTCTAAGGCCAGAGTTACATTCAGTACAAGATGCCCCCATAGCGAGAGGGAAACTTGAGAGATTGAAGAAGTTCCATGTTATACTGACATGGTGGTACATGTTCATTGAGGGCAATCATTGGTAAGATGAGCAAACAATTTAAAATGAATTTATTTGTCTTTCTGTTTCTGTACATCCACTGGACAATCTATGAAGCAGACAAAATCACTTTTCCCCATTGCATCAATTCCTTCCTTATCAGGAAAAATGGGGATGTGCCATGCTTGGAATAGTATTATCTCACATCACACTTCCACACCACTGCTGCTGAGTAAATAAAACTTCGGGCCTCTGTGGGACTCGTGCAAGGCTCCATCTCCCATTGCTCTTTCCCCTAACAACTCTAGCTTTACCTCCACCTGCCTGGAAGTAACCAGAGTTGGTATCTTCCTGCAGTTTGTCCCATATCCTTCAGCGGTAGCATAAGGGGTTCAGGGCCCCCAGCTATCTCTAACTGCAGGCAAGATTTTCCATTCTTTCAGGGTTAGAGAGGTGACTATCCATGCCCAGCACCAGGGCCCCCTTTAATTTCACCATGTTTACCACAGTCCATAAACTCTATTCTCTATGGTTCACTTCTGTCTCTTGCTCCACAGATTTCATCCCTTCTCTATTTCCTCCACTTGGAACAGCACTCAACACACAGTAGGGTTTTGATGAGTATTTGTCAAACAAATGAATGAAATGGGCTATATGACTCTGCAGAGGCCTTGAAATAGACCCTTGCCCATGCCAGGAGCTGATAAAAGCACATGCCCCACCAGTTCCTATTACATAACAGTCAATCCCCAGTAGCCTGTGCCATTCTCATCTACGTAGCACAGGAGGAACTGTACGCCCTGGACTCACTTGACAAATAGCCGCCTCAGGCTCCTACCCTGCCTTGCATGAAATATAAAATGGTGTGACTCACATAGCTATGATCACACACTTGTTTCTTCCCAAACCGGCAAATGCCAACTTCTGAAGTTAATCCTGTCTTTCAGGGAAAGCAACTCAGGGATCTATTTCCAAATTGCAGCTACATGCAAGAAAAATTGTTGCATAATAATACAATTCTGCCACATCCTTCAGTTAATTCTTTGCATGCTTCCTGGATGTGGGGTCCAGGAGAAAAGTGCTGGCAGCCTCTTGTCAGAGGCGCCTCTTCAAAGAGACTCAGAGTCCTCATGTTTGAGGTCCCAAAGAATCATGGGTGACACAGTCCATCAAGATTTTTCTATCACCACATACAGCTGCCCAAACTTTGCCAGGGCAGTGGGCGATGCTGCCTGGCAGAACACATGCCCAAGTTAGTACTGGAGAATTCCTCCCCCACCACAGATTCTAATTTTAAAAGCAGTTGAAGAAAGAGGCAGGAAGGGAGGAGCTGAGGGAGCCGAGGAGATAGAAAGAACAGCCATGCTCACTTACCGGTAAATGATGCCCTTGCTCTGCAAGAAGAACAGACCGATGGCAATCTCTGCAGCATAGAATCTGAAATTAAAAAAGAATGGTGATGGAGAAAGTCAAGGACACCGTATGCTTGGCAACTCTCAGCAGTTGATATAATACTGAACAAGGCACAGGGCATGAAAAGCTTACTATGGATGGTCAGCTCTAGGTCTCATAAAATGCTGAGCTCATGGGTGGGTGAACAGGATATAGTTCAGAGTGACACACTGCAGTGGGTAAAAGGTGAGCAATTGCATAGGGGAGAGGGGCCTATGGGATGGGTGGGCTGGTAGAGAAGGATTGTTTCAATCCTACTAGTGAAAGGACGTTAGTGACAGCACCTGGCAGCTGTTAGAAGCTCAGCATGCACTTGGCATCATTATCCAGGTTATCTGTTTTAATTCAACCTAGAATCCGATGACATATGTTCTGCTAGCACTCCTTTGTTATTCAAATGGGGAAATTGAGGCTTATAAATGATGTCTGTGAAGAGCCTGGAGAAGACATACAGCAGATGAGTGGGCCAGTTAGGACTGGGAACAGCTGTTGTCTCAAGGGTAACTTCTTAGTGAAGGTCCACCAAGAAGGAAAGAGGAGTCTATTTGTTGTTTTTTCTTGTGGTTATAAGGGTACAGGTTCTATACAGGGGCATAGAACTCAGAGTATTGTGCAGCTAGGTACATCCTCAGGCCTTGTTTTGTTATTTCTTGAGATCTAATCTCCCTCTGCAGCTCAATGGGCCTGCAAATCTGTAGCTTGTCATGTAGCCCAGACTTGCTTCAAACTTGAAATCTTCCTGCCTTACCCTCCCAAGGGCTGGCTGCTATGCCTGTCTCATGAAAGAGATCTTAAGAACATAAAAAAAAAGATAAAGTCAGTTATACCACAGGGGTTGGCTGGACCTCAGGGAGCTGTGTTGAGTCCTAATAGTACATGTCATGCAGTGATGAACTAAACCTGGGTCAACCAGATGCCAGAGAGAAAAGAAGTCTATGACACCACCATGATGCTTTAGTTGGAAGCACGGGGCTAAACAGAATAATGTTCCTGACTTCAGCAGGTGGGAAGAAGAGAAGAAGGTTGAAAGGAACACAGCCCACAGCCCTCCCAGAGGGGTGGGGTAAGGTCCTTGAGGGGCTCTTGGGACACGCTGGAGAAGCGACAAGATCTAAGCAAATACCCAGGAAGGGGAATTGACGTTCATTCCTGTGGCTTTTTCTGTTCCTGCTCACCCACGGGGTTCTAAGCAAAGAAAAAGCTTGGTGAGATTTTTATTTTATACATTATCTCTTACTGGCTTATGCATTGGGAGGAACAAAATGGAGAACCCACAGGCCACTGCTGCTAATCAGCTTGATCCTTTACGTCCCCCAGAGTCTGAGGGGAAAAGATGGGAACAGATGAACAAACAGGTGGGCCTCACCTGCACCCATCCTCCACTGGGGCCAGAATCTTGACGTTGCCCACCCTCCAGGTCTCAGCTCACTCGTTCGTCAAGTTTTCGTGAAACTATCCCTGTGCTACTCAGGGTGAAATGAGACCATGTTTGTTCAGTACTTAGGGTCTGGCAAAAAGAACGTTCTCAATAAATATTAGCAAAGGGACAAACAAATCCCCGCAAAGACATTCTCTGAGGAGGATAGAGGACCTTTCTCTGGATTGAGGGGCAAAAATTCAGAGATTATGAAACAGCCATTGGTTTAGAGCTATTGAGTTCTTAGCTGGCCTTCAGGAACATAAAGAAACATTCCCAAACAAGCAGAATAGATCCTCCTTGGCCAAATATTCCTCACAAAGAGGCAGCTTTAGCCATTGAAAATCCCTCATTGGCTAAAACTTCAAAGGAACTGACACCCATTTATCCAAGGAAAGGGCACAGCAGGACGCCTGTCTTACACAGCGTGGGGTTCCTTGAAACGGCCAACTTGTTGGATGTGGTACATGAGGTCACCTCCATTCACATACTCCATCACAAAGTACAGGCGGTCCTGAGGAGAAAGAGCAGACAGCAATTATCAGCACCCCATAGTTTTTCAGGCTCCAAATATGGAGCAGGGAGTAGCTGGGATTTATGATTAAAACTACAGGATTCTGACGTGTTCTTTCATGCAGTACCCAACGTTCCCTTAAGGGTTACCTCTGTGCCACTGTAAGTATGCACGCTAGCCTAGGTGGAATGAAATCATTTTTAATTAATAACCACAAATTGAAATTCATTTGTGCTGGAAAATATAATTAACACATAGATCTTACTACATAATTGATATTATTGTTTAGAACAAGGTTTGATGGAACAAAAAGTAGAAAATACTAGGTGAATAACTTTACAGTAATAGGTATCTGTGGGAGCGGGTCTTCATGTCAACTCTCCAGTGATTTCACCTCCTAATATGCATGCCCTCCTGTACCACTACCTCTCCATGACTGGGCTAATTTGTATAACAAACAGGATGCATGACTTTGGGATGCGGTTACAGAAGACCCTTCAGTTTTCATTCTGCCCTTTCTTGGATTATGTCTTCTACTGAAGCCATGATGCATAGACACTCAACCAGCACTGCAGAGAGGCCTATTGGCGAAGACCCAAAACTGCTTATCCACAGAATGACTCCCTAGGCATGTGAATTGAATCACCTTGGAAAAGACTATTTCTCCTCAGTGAAGCCCTCAGGAGACTGCAGTCCCCCCTAGGCACTTGATTGTAGCTTCACTTGAGACCAGATATTAGACTTTTAAGGACGTGTGCTAGCCTAAATCCCTGACAGCAACTGTGAAGTAATAAGGGTTTACTGTTACTTTAAGTCACAGAGTTCTGAGGTACTAGGTGACAGGCATCTGACTTGGTGACTAGCAAAATCCACCAATTAGCAAAGTTAGAAAAATAACAGCCTAAGAAGACATTGCTGTGGTAGGGCCTGGAATGTCTCCCCAGATGTTCACGAGTAAAAGGCTTGTTCCCTAATTGTGGTAGTCACTTTTCTTGACACTGTGACTAAAAACCCAAGACTGCAACTTAAGGGAAGACAGGTCTATTTTGGCTCACGGTTGCTGCCCGTGGTCACCTGTCTCCACATTTTTAGATTAGACCTGGACGAAGCAGAACATCAGGATGGCAGCAACATATGGCAGGACCCATTCAGCTGAGGAAATACAGGAAGGAGCCAGGACGAACAAGAGTCCCCAGAGACATCCTTGGGTCACCTACTTACCCCATTGGTTCCATCTCCTACTTCACCCACCTCCCAGTTACACAAAATCATACTGTGAGGGGATTCATCCACCACCTAGGCAAGAACTCTTAGGACCCAAGTACTCCCCCCAGTTCCATCTGCTGGTAGCCAATTCCTCGATCTATGAGTTTAGGAGGACCCATCATATTCAATCCAAAGCATCAGTGCAGCAGAGTCCAGAGGCGGGACCTTGGGGAGTTGGTTGGATCATGAGGCTTCTGGTTTCATGAATGGGCTCATTTGCTTATGAGTCCTAACTTGGTAAGCTATTGGGAGGCAGTGGAAACTTTAGGAGATGGTACCTAGCCAGAGGAAGTGGATCGCTGGGGCATGACCTTGAAGGGATATTTTGTCTCTGGCTGCTTCCCTAGCCCTCCTGCCTTTCCTGCACCACCACAGCACTCCACCATCGTGTTTTGCCTCATCAGTGGGAGTAATGGTGGGTGGGTCCAAGTCACCATGGACTGACACCTGTAAAACTATGAGCCAAAATTGACCTTTTTTTCCCTCTAAATTGCTTTCCTCAGACATTTTGTTACGGCAAATATTGATGTGTACACAGGCATGTTTCCAGCATTTTCATGGCAAATCCAGCAGATTTCCCCTAAGTCCCTCAAAACTGAAATTTAAAAACAAGGGGCATGCAATCGTGACCTTCCTGTCAGGAGAAATGACATTCTAAAGAGACACCTGTGCCTTTCCCTCAGCTGTCAGACTGTGGAAACAATAGGCCCCAAAGAATTAAAATTTCCCCAGAAATCCCACCCTGGGAGAAGGAGAGGCTGAGGAGCTGGTGCCTGGTCAGAGGAGGAACTTGCCTTTCGGGAAGAGACTACGTGCAGTCTGTCAACCTGTCAGACCACCCGTCAGGACAGACCAGAGCCGAGACAGTGATGGGCCAATGCGGGGTAGGACCACACCTTGAGCAGCACAGCTTAGTTGTTCAAATGGCTTTCCCCTATCTAAAACTAAGCTAGGACAATAACCCCCACGACAGACTTCGTCTCCCCAATGTGGCCATATTGGATAGTCTAATCTCCCTTCTCTGCTTTTTATAAGCAACAAGAACCTAAAACAAGGACATTTGCAGAAATGAAATAACTGGGACCAGGGGGGAAAATCTATATCTCAGCTTGGGGGATTTCTGACATGTCTCTCAAGGCATGCTGTGAACTCTTTCAGGTCAGGGGCTGTGTAAGCCTGTTCCTGGTACCATGAACAACACACAGTAGGTGCCCAGAGAGTGAAAAAGCACATACTTAGAAGCCAAAGAGACTATCTAGAAACCCAGCTCTGACTCTTGAATGCAGGGAGTCTCGAGTATTAACATTTCGGTTCCCTCATTTGAACACTGGCAGGAGTCAGACCTATGGTGAGGCTAATGATGCATAAGGTATCGTGGTCCTTGAGAAATGCCCACCTGAGATTTGACATTTCTCCTTCTGTCAAAGGGTGTTTGTGAGGTGAATGAACGACACCCCCTCTTCTTAGCTCTGCTTGGGTTAGATCGTTTCTTTATTCTGCTTTCTTTTGGCTTGCAGGGCCTGAACTATTTGCAGGAAACTAAAATCCCCCTCATGTTCTCAGGCTAAAAAAACTGTTTCCTCTAAATTAGCCCACCCAATCTAAGTCAGGTCTTCTTGTTATATTCTTCTGTGAACCTCTGTGACTGTCCCCTCTGATCACATCAGAGTTTGTGATTATATATTTAACTGGATGATAGTCTATCCCATCTGTTTATCCATTTATCCATTAAGTAAAAAAAAAAAAACTATTTACAGAGCCCTACTAAGAAGCAGATTACAGATGCCAGAGAGAAAAGCAATGAATAAAACCAACAAAATCCCCTAGCCTCTGTGTTTCAACTTAGCAGAGTAATAGTGCTAAAAATAATAATAAAGGTAATAAACAGAGAGCCTAAGGTTGTGAGTGCTACATAAAAAACAGCGAAGGTTACAAAGACTGGGCTGTCGGCAAATGAGACAGGGGCAAAGACTTCCAACTGCAGTCCAGTGCTCAGGATAAACCTCACTGAGAAGATGTTGGAGCAAAGCCACCTATGCAAAGGCCACGGCAGAGTATCCACCCACTGTACCTTAAGGTCCATCAGGAAGCAGTGAGAGTGAATGGAGAAGAAGGGAGACAGGGTGGAAGAGGGGACCAGAGATGGGCCGGCTGGGGTTGTGTAAGGGGATCTGCAGGTAGGAAAAATGCAAAGATTTGGTGCTTTAGTTTGTGAGTGACTATGATGGATAGTACCTTATGCCTGCTCTCTCTGGCCAAAGCAATCAATCCATCAACATAAATTAGTGAGTGAATGGATGAGGGACACAGGAATTCGTGGGCACCTGAACACCTTCATGAACTGGAAGGTTGGAAAAGATGTGTTGGCTCAGCATCTTCTTTGGGGATAGGCCTTAGAAGATCACTCAGTGTCCCTGGGCCTGCATCCCTTGTGTCTGATGAAGACAATATAACCAGCCATCTCCAATAGAGCTCCAGTCAGACACTCAGAGCTGTGCACTGTGACTCTGACAAGGATGGAGGCGGGGCCAGCTGGTTTCTCAAGCCAGAGAAGTGCTTACTTTAACTGTTCACCAGTCATTTTGGTGGGGCACAGTAATTTCTTAAGAGAGAAATTTAGCAAGAATTAGAATGGAATGGAACCTAAGAATGGAACAGAAAGGGTTGGAGCCCCATGTACAGAGCACTGAGTATGCTTTTATGAAACGTGGTTGGGTTGTTTAATGTGTTGGTAAAGCTGGCGTCCGACGTAAAAGTAGGTCCTACATGAAAATTTGCAGAGCTACCGGGAGGACTAGAAAGCTGAGGGAACATTGCAAGAGGAAAGCTGCAGGGCAAAGGTCCCAGCTCCAAAATGAACACGGGGTTGGGATGTCATTCTGTTACTTACTAGTTGTGCAATGCCATGCAATTATTCAACCTCTCTGATCTCCACATTTCTCTTCACTTATACAGGGGATACTTGCATCTGCCCACAGGATACTAAACAAGACGGCATATACAGACTGCCTAAGATGCTGCCATAGAATAAATATTTAATCCAGCATTTAAAGAAACAAAAAACATTCCTTCCAAATGCATAGGCTTTTGTGTTACTCTATATAACTGGTACTATATGTTTGCCATGTATGTATTTTGAGTTATTATACAGATAATAATGACACAAAACCACTTCATCAAGCAGTTGATGTGTTCCCTAGTTAAAGGCTTTATGTGTTTTACCTCTTTTATGTATCTAAACAACTCAACATGATATTAGATCATCCTCTGTCTTAATTAATGGATGCTGATGTGGAGGACGGTGACTGGTCAACAGTTACTTAGCTGGTAAGTGGCAGAGCCAGGATTTGAACCAAAATGGACCAGTTCTAGGGTCAACACTCGAAGCTCCTCACTATGCTAGCCCCAGTGAATACAAGCAGCATGGAAGGTTCTGAACTAGATATTGTAGAGATCTGTCTGGATGCATCCTTCCTTCGAAGCCACCCCCCAGCAGGGGAGAAGGTTCACAGCGCTCTACCCAGGCATCCAGCTGGAGCTGGCAGGTTTACAGCAAGCAGAGCAAGTCAACCAATTACATATATTTTGAAATGGCTTTTTTCTTTCTCAGATCAATACTGTTTCTCCTTCTAACAACCTAATGAGAGGCAGAGAGGGAAATGGGAAGGTTGAATATGCAGTTTGCACAAAGGTCACACTGAAGATGGTGGCATACAGCAGACAGTACACCAGAA